CCCTAAACCCTAAACTTGAGGAGTGCGGCTTCAGGATTTGGGAGGGGTTTGGGGCTGACAGGCTCAGGGATGATGAGTTGGGATTTGGGATTCAGGAAGTTTGGGGCTTACTGATTACTGTTGAGGGTGTAGAGTCTCGGGGTCTGGGGGTTCCGGGTTTAGGAATTAAGGATCAGGATTCAAGGTTGAGGCGTTTAGGCTAATGGTCACCACATCCGGGTGAGGCATCGGCACAGACACCTTAATTGAAGCCTTAGACTCCAGCCATCATGCCTAAAACCAACCACCACCTGACATGGCAAAGCCCGAATGCTCTGACGAAACAAACAAGGCATTCGACCCCAAAGCCCTTGATGCCTGACCCATAACAAACCCTAAACCCTGAACCCTAAACACCCTATACAACCGCCTGATCCTGAACCGGTCCCCCTCTCTACACCCTTAAACCTCTTCTTCCGAACCCCCATCAGGATAATTAACAACACACAGAGAAATTAAAAAGTACTAAAATAATCCAAGCTCTGATGAAGCCCCACAACCATAAAGCCCCAAACCTCCAAGACCCCTGAACCCAAGCTCCGATACAGCCCAAACCTAGAAAGACACGCATCATGAAAAGTCTTAACCCGACACCCAGAATAAAGACCCCTATCCACCCCCCGCCCCTCCACCCCCCACCCCGGAGCTCTAAACCTCAAATTTTGAAGACGAGCCCCTGCACGGAAGACTCAATCGGCCTGTCCCAGCTGCTTCGGCGGACGCCTGGATGTCCTTCCGTTGGCTTTCGGACTGGGCTCTCAAGGCATAAAGGTCTCGCAGTCAGGGTTTTGGCCCTTGGTGCTTCTGTCGGGATTTGGGTTTCGACTTTGGGGGGCTTTGGGGTTCTGGGCTTTTTTGTGCGGTTCAGAGGCTGGGATTCAGCTTCAGGGATTGGAATGAGATTGCAATGGCTGGTGTGACGTGAGAAGTTTAGGTGATCAAAGCCTAGGGTCTCGGACCGGAGGCTTCACGCAAAGCCCTCAGCTTTTAAAGACTCCCGGTGCGAGAGCTCTGGAGTCACCGGCTGCGGACTTGGGGTTGGGGTTTAGGGCTTAGG